AATGTCTGTTTTAATTGTCCAATTGCCACAGTGCTTGTTGAAGCCAGTTCTGATTAATCTCCTTTGTCAGTGTGTCCTTTGCCATTCCCTATCTCTCCTCCCTGAGAGAGACTTCACCCTGATTCATAAGGAAAAGGGGATGGCGTATTCTCTTAGCTACTTCAGTGCCTTGATGAAGCTTTTCTGCAATCTGTTTTGTAAAGGGGGGAAATTGTTCAAGGCCAGCCATTTTCTTTGCCAGATCAAATAAAATCATTGAAATATATGATCAGAAAACCTATATAATTGGAAATTGTACTTCTCACAGGTTGGTGAACTTTTGAAAGATTGGCGGCGCCTCAACGTTGCTATCACCAGAGCCAAGCATAAACTTATTCTCCTGGGATGCGTGCCCTCACTGAACCACTGTCCTCCTTTGGAGAGGCTACTTTGTTATCTCAACTCAGAAAAATTAATATCCTTTTTTTTGGTCTGTGGTCATGCTTTATGTGTTGTTATGTGTCTTTTATACTTGTATAAATCAAAACTCAGTGCCCCCCAAAACAAAAAAAAAAACAAACCACAAAACAATTCAGTGTCCTGTGTGTTCAGTGGACTTACTGCAAAGATCTGATTTAAAACAGAACAAAACATTCACTTAATGTATGCTAAGTAAATGAAGAACCCTTGTCATGCAATAGGTTAAATATTGAAAGGTTTGCAGCTCAAATCCACCAGCTGCTCTGTGTGAAAAAGGTGAGAAGTTGTGCTTCCATAAAGATTTACAGCTTAAGAAACCCATTTTAGGGAGGAGCAGTTCTGCTGTTTTATGGGCTTTTATGAGTCAAAATTGACTTAATGGCAATGGTACTTTGGTTTATTGTTAAGCAAATAGTGAAATAATAAAGGTGATAAAGAAGGATAGTTTGTAAAAAATGAAGGAAAAAAAAAAAGACTTGATCTATTGTCCTAAAATTATATTGCTGGCACATCTAGGGAAATTTGTTCTTTCTCTTGACCCATATTTAGGGGAAAAAAAGGTTTGTGTATGTGTGTATGACTATTTATCTATCTATATATAAAGAGAAATCATCATGGATCATTATTCCTTGTCATGTAGTATGTTGTTGTTAAAATAGATTATCTTTAAGAGAACGTCCATAAAGATCTTCAGCTAAAATAAACAAATCTTATTGCTTATGTATATAATTATCCATAAAATACCATAAAGATCTTTACATTTATTTAGTCATGTAAATTATAAAACGGGAAAGAATGTCAGAAAATGATTTTGTGTGATTCCTTAATTTCTTTTACATCGTTGATCTTCCATCAGGAGAACATGAAAGTCTTTGTCATGCATTGGGTGATTTTCAGAGAGGAAAATCCCTGGCCTTTATCAGATAGGACAGTGGCTCCTTCTGGCTAGTTCATAGTGTGGGTGTGCTGAGAAAACAAAAATGCATAGTTACACTATAAAGATAACTCTTACCCAAAGGGTATGAAATGAAGTAAATGTGCTCAGTTCCGATTTCTGGGTTTTGGGTTTAGACTTGTTAAACAAATACTAGCATCATACAAATTTTAACACAATTATTTTCTTTTTACTACAAATGTGCTCCAAAATTATGAGAAGTTTAAAGTGGCTAAGAAAAAAGATACAATTTTTATCAGCTTTAAAAATGAATTGAATATTTTCTTGATCCTCCATTCAAAGGTGCTTATTCTGTTTTTTCCTTTGCCATTTATTTAGTTTTCACTTTGAACCTAGTGTTTTAAATTTATATCCTCTTATTGTAATTTTTCAACTGATATTTCCATTTAAGTCTCTGCTTCCTTTTATTTTTCATATTCTAGAATAGATTTTGATATAAAATAAAATAATGTTTACTCTTTAATGAGAGGAAATTGCTGACAAAAAATCATGTTCCAGTTTTCAGCATTCATGCTCAATTGCTCCTTCATTTTGGAGTATTACTCTGTTTTCCTGTGTTAGGTAAATAGTTTCAAAATCATTAATTATGCAGATGGTGACAAATTTTTAACCTTAATGTTTATATCTTCTGGGAGTTTTTTCCCCTCCCAAATGAACATTAAAAAATGTTAAAAATTTTTGTTTCTACCTCAGGTAGTTTTGTATCTTATTATTACTTGATGTTTTGTTAAATAAATTATTTATTAGCAGACCTTAACTGTGTCAGTTATTGTTGTTGTTGTTGTTGTTGTTATGTGCCATCGAGTCGTTTGCGACTCAATAGCGACCCTATGTTCAACAGCCCTAAACCCTGCTCTATCCTGCACCAACCCCACTGCCTCTGACACACCCATCCCGATT